GAGAAAGAAGAAAAGAAGGCAATTAACATTTATTAAGTATATGCTAATCTCTTAACTCTGCCAGAAAGACTAGAATATTTAGTCTTCAGATTATGAAACTGATGCTCAGAAAAACTAAGCACTTTATACAAAGTCACTGTAGTGGATTGATAATTGGCGGTCAACTTATAACCCCAGCTGAACTGAGTAAGCACGGTGCTGGGTGTGGGAGGCCCACCTGGGAACTGTTGCCAGCAGCATAAGAAGCAGACCTGGAGAAGAAGAGAGACTTTTGGGAACAAAAGAGGCTGCTGGGAGTGGAGAAAGGCTGTTGGAGCTGGTAGAAGCTGTAAGGAGCTGTTGGTTGTTTTGGAGGAGCTCATCATGCTGGCTTTCCTGATGAACTTGGCTGTTTTCATCCTGCGAGGAGCTCGGGACCTTGTTGGCACTGAGAATGGTTTTGGTTCACTTTAGGGGAGCTCTGGTCCTCACTCTGAGCATCGCTTCCTGGCTCCAGAGGGGAAGTTGGTGCACTGCTGGTCTCCTAGAGAAGCTTGCTGCGTTAGCTTCCCTGATGGGAACTCGGCCATCTTGATCATCAGAGGAGCTCAGGACCTCACTGTTGCTGAGGATGGCTGTGGTACCTTTCGGGGCAGCTCTGGTTCTTCTGAGCGTCGCTTCCTGGCTCCAGTGCAGATCCCTCAGCCTGCTAGCACAGATCCTTCATCCTGCTGGCACAGACTTCCTAGATTCCACCACTGAACTTTGGGCCTTCCTAGCGCGGATCTGTGAAACAGGCCTGCATGAGACGTTGTTGTAAGCTCTGGGCCTCCAGCTGGATTTGTGGGAGGTATTATTATGAGCTCTAGGTATTCAGATAGACTCATGCAGGACATTCCTGTGGGATCCAGGCCCTCGGATGGATTCCTTGGTCTGTGTGTGGACAGATTTCCTGCACTCTTCTGTATATCATTCTTTGGGTGACTATTATAAATAACCTTACAAAATATGTGTCCTGTATTATATTGTGTTACCTTGCAAATAAGTCCCAAACCAGCACAGTCACATAGCTACAAAGTGAGGAAATTTGGCTTCAAATATATCTTTGGGCAATTCCACTCCGAAGTATACGTAACTCCAAGGACATAACACTGGTACTCAATCAAATGCTTGTATATGCATACACATATTCCTCCTTTAATGACCTACCTGTTTAATGATTTTGGACTTACAATTGAGGCATGCTGTTGAGACTTATGACCCGTTTTTTTTGTAAAATTTTGTACATCTTGATAGTAGAGCCTTAATGTCTTTTTTTGTAGACCATGTCTATAGAATACTGTAATTTTTGCTGATTATACTGTACAGTACTATAGTTTTATGTTCTGTTATATGTTACACTACTGCATTTGAGTTATGCAAATAAAAGCAAATTCATCAAATCGGAGTTTGCTTTGACAATTTCTTTGTTCTGAGTATTGTAATGTACATATGATATACAAATCCTCATTTAGCAAACAAGTCATTTAATGACCTAGTTACAGGTATGGAGCTTGTTCTTTAAATGAGGAATATCTGTATTCACAACAGAACTATTCACAACAGCCCAAAATTGGAAATAACCCAGATGTTCATGAATAGATGAATGGTTGGAGAATTTGTGCTGCATAAGTGCAATGGGATGTTATTTAGCCATAAAAAGGAATGAAATACTGATACTTGTTACAATTTAGGTGAACTTCAAAAACATACTAAATGGGATCGAGAATGTAGCTGAGAGGCACAGTGCATTCCTGGCAAGCATGAGGCCCTGAGTTCGATTCCCTGTGCAACCCCCCCAAAAAATAAGTGAAGTCAGACACAAAAGTTTGCATATTGTATGATTGTTTATATGAGACTTTCACAACAGCTAAATGCATAGACAGAAAGCATATTGGTGGTTGCCAGCAGTCCAGGGGAGGGAGGAATGGGGAGCAATTGCTTAATGGATACGGGGTTGGAAAATATTGGCTGATGAAAATGGTGGCACAATGCTGTCAATGTACTAAATTGTCCACTTTAAAATGGTTAACTTTGTATATGTCCATTTCACCTTAATTACTTAAAGAAAAAGTTGTTCTTGCTCGAAATATAGTCTTCTTTCATTCAGACCAGTTATCTCTCTGGGATTAGTAAAAAATGGAAAGCCCACTTTAGTTCAATACAAATTAAAACTTTCTAACAGAGTTATCTAATGGTACAGTGCGCTGACTTGTGCTGTATACTTAAATAAAAGTATTCTACCAAAGTAGACAACTGTCTATAGTAAATATTTTGGAATGAACTTCGAAGTTTCCTTCCAATGATTAGATTTCTTGATTCTATCCTCTTGAATAGTTGATATTTTAGAGGGATCAAAATTCAACCTTAACACTAGACTGTCAAACACTGGTCTTTGTGGTAGAGACTACAAATAATACAAGGTAATTTATAAGGAAAATGACCAATTTTGAGAGGATAAGATTTTTTTTTACATAACAGATTTAGAAAATGAACTCTAGGAAAGCAACTAAAATACAAATGTATTGAATGTTGTGTGTGTTTATAATGTTGCTTCCATGAATGCTATTTTTATTCATTTATTATAGAACTTTAAAAATCACCCATTTGAAAACAAGTTCATTTTAACAAGGTTTACCTAGGTGGTCATGGGCTTAGCTGGTGGTGACAGCAGCCGTGAAGGCAAAAGTTGTCCTGTAGAAAACCTAAGAGTGATTTGTTCATGGAGAGGGCCCAAATTCTACAAGGATGTGGAGTAAGCCGAGGTCACAGCTACACATACCACTCATCTTACCAGAGAAAGCATAGTCCTTTTAAGTAAGAAGTACTTTGAAGTTTAACCTCCCTTGTTTGGCTGCAAGAGACTCACTCTGCAGAGATCTAAATGGGAGAAAAATTCACATTTTGGAATGCATATACATTTCTTACATTATTTCTATTTTAAGTAAGGAAGTTTCTGAAGTTAACAGAGGCGTTAAGGTATTGAAGTTGACAGCCTGAGTTCTGAAGTCATACCTGAGTATGTTTTATTTTTTATTTGAGGCAGTGTCTTGCCATGTAGTCCATGCTGGCTTGGAACTCCAGCCTCAGCCTTCTGAGTGCTAGGATTCCAGGTGTGTGCCGCCATTCCCGGCTCAGACCTGAGTTTACATCTCACTTCTGTCACTTCTCAAATTATTGTCAACTTTTTATGGCCTCATTTTTTAATCTGTCAAAAGGGGAAAATAATGGTACCTGTCTTATAGGGTAGCTGTGAGCATAAAAAAACTCTTGGTATGACCCTTGGTACATGATAAAAACTCCATAATGTCAATTATTATTATGATATTGCCTGAAGAAATTTTTAAAAGAAAAAAATTTGAGATATCTGAACTAAAACGAGAAAGATCCTTTAGGGAAAAAGAAATTTTAAAATTTGCTTATTCAATAAATAAGGGCCGAGTGCCTTACACAGACTGACTCCCACTTGTAATATAAACAGTAAACCTTTGACTTTTTTTTTTTTTGGTACTGGGAATCGAACTCAGGACCTTGCGCTTGCCAGGCAGGAACTTATGCCACTGAGTTATATCCCCAGCCCTTAAACAGTAAACCTATTATTGCTCACTCTCATCTGAAAGAAGCCTTCACTTGAGGTTTAGAATTCGGTTGTAGTAGCCAGGCACGGTGGTGCACACCTATAAGCCCAGCATTAGGGAAGCACAGGCAGGAGGACTGTGGTGAGTTTGAGGACAGCTTGGACTACATAGGAAACTCAAGGCCAGCATAAACTACACAGCGAGACTTTGTCTCAAAAATAATCAATCAATCAATCAATCAATCAATCAATCGGTGTGGCTTATTGGCTAACGGTCTTGTCCCGGCAACTTTGCTGTTTTGACTTACAGCGGCCCTGGCCACTAAAACCAGGCACCAGGCTCTCACCTTGACGCAGATTGTGAGGAGTCAAGTAACTAAACCCCGTTACTAAACACCTCTCTTCTTTAAATTCTTTAACTTTCTACAGTCCTATTTTCTGTTTCCAATTTGCTCTTAAGTTTCTGCCTAAACCAACAGCTTCGAGTACAGGTTCTGTAAATTTTCATTCACTAATTTCTTTTTTTTTTTTGTGGCGGGGGTTGCTATCAGGACTCGAACTCACGACCTTGCACTTGCCAAGCAGGCGTTGTACAGCTGAGCTACATTTCCAGGCTTCAGTCTCTAATTTCTGACTTTGAAGAGGCGCTGAGGTTTACTTCTCTATCCTGATTTTCTTTCGGAGCCAGGTGCCTCGCAAAATTAAGTTCAGCCACTATTCCTCATTTTCTCACTTGTGTTTTAAGCATTTTGTCTTGCCTTCCTTTTTCCTACCCAGCGCACGCAGACTTCCTCGCTCCCTTGGCGCCCCCTAGCCTCTCCAGCCTTTCCCTCCCTGCGCCAGGGCTTCTCCAGCCCCCGCCCCGCACTCCGTTTGCTCCGCCCCTCGCTGCTCCCCCTCGCGCTCCTCCCTGCGCTGGCCCCTCCTCTCGCGCCGCGTGACTCCGGGGGTCCTTTTAGCACTGCCTCCGCTAGGTTTTTTTTTTTTTTTTTTGTCTTTTTGAGACAGTGTCTCGCTATGCAGTTCAGGCTGGCCTTGAGCTCACGTTGTAGCCCCGGCTGGCCTCGAACTCGCAACGATCCTCCTGCCTCAGCCTCCAGAGTGCTTGGGATTACCAGCCTGCGCCACCACGCCTGGCCTTTGTACGTGCCAGGTAGGTGAGTAACGCGGTGACAGCGACACCTCTGCCCCCGCTGGCGAGCACAGAAACTGCAGATGCTGTCAAATTCTCACGCCTTAGCGCCCTTCCCCCGTAACTCCCGAAAGTCAGGTTGCCCCCCTGAGCCTTTGCGGCCGTTCCCTTTCCCGCCCCTGCAGCCTTCCCGAGGCCCACCTTTGGACCCGTGAAGCTGCCTCTTATTTCGCGCCTTCTTTTTCAGTCTTGAAGGGGGCGGAGGCCGTTGCCGAGGCGACACCTTGGTTACTTCCGCTGACAGCAATGCTTCCGGGTTGGCGTTGCGGTGGCGTTTCCGACTGTGGCAGCCTCGGCTTCCCAGTCGTCTGCGGAGCCCGAACAGGTGAGGGGGAGCTCCTGGACTTCCAGGCTGGGGAGCGGGGCTGGGCCGCGCCAGGCCGCGCGGGGCCGGGCTGGCCTGGTTCCCGGCCCTGGGCGGGGCTTAACAGTCCTTTGATCTCTCTCCCCTCAGTCCAGCCCCTTCCCTGTCTTTCACTCTTCTGGCAACGGTGGTTTTACTTCTTCGATTGAGCCCTGCTTCTTCGACCCCCCTGGGCGGCCGCCTCCTTCAGGCGCCTCCAGTCTCTCCAAGAACTCGCTCGACAGCTGAGGAACTGGCAAGATCCTGCTACCCAGAGGGTGAATGGGTATCTTTCCTGGAATAATCCTAATTTTTCTAAGGGTGAAGTTTGCAACGGCGGCCGTGATTGTAAGCGGAGTAAGCAAACACCTCCATTGTATTAGTGTGAGGGATGCTGTTGAAAGAGGGGCCCCTTCAGTTTCTCCCCTGCCGCTCCTGATGGCAAGGCGTAGAAGGCATCTGTTAAAATGCAGTTCAGTTACTTGATTGGGATGACAGTTATTATCAACATGAAATAGTTGCTCGGTCAAGGTAACGGCAGGGACATTTCTAGTTTTCTGTCAGGCGATAGACGCTTAGAGTCGTCATGAACACTTCCCGCATCTTCGTTCCCTGCCCATTACTTAATGGTGTGCTAGCCTTTTGGTCTCCATTTCAGAAATTCACCCCTAACCTCACTGCCAACAAGCACCCTTACCTGCTTTCCTTCATACCACCCTAAACCAGCCTCGCTGTCTCAGCTGCTTGTCAGCCATTGTACTTGCTGCATCTATAGTAGGCTAATTAAGCTTGGTGGATTTCAAGTAACTTCTCTGTGAAAATTTTATAGCGCCCCCCATACACCTTTCAATATAACCTACTCCATATACTGGTGTTAGCTGACAAGTGAATTCTCTGTTCAAGTTGGTTTCTTCATTTGCTTCTCAGCACAAGCCATATCGATGCCTGCTTCTACAGCCTGTGTTTATTCCCACGCTTGAGTCTGTTTATCCTGTCACCTCCCCTATTTCCTCCCTTGCTTGCACCTATTCGGAGTTAACCTGCCTTGTATCAGGGGCCAGTTTAAATTCTCTCACCTCCACAAGCTTTTTCAAATTATTCCAGCTCATGCTGATTGTCTCCCTTCCCATGCTCTTCTTGCTCTTCTAGGTTGTCGTACATAGGTTAGCATTTAACTTTAATGAAGTACAGTACTTTGCTTTTTTCCACCAGATTATAAGCTCTTAAAAAGCAGGTACCATATTTCACACAACTTTCACCACTGCTCCATCTCCTTAATTACCCAGGAAAACTAGGTTGAATGGCAAATATTGTCTTGGTGTTAGAACATATTTCTATGTTTTTAAAAAACATTATTATTGCAGGTGTGAACATTTAGTATGCTTCCAATAAATATTTGTTGGTTCTCCATTGTTACCTTCTGAATGTGAGACTCTAATACCTCCTCTTTCTTGAAGGACAGAGAGAAAAGCACCCATAGTTTCCTGACTAGATCTTTGGAGTAGTGTAGGGCTATTTAAATTCTATTGTGGAACATTTTCACTATTCGATTATCAAATATTCTTCAGAACTTCAGAATACATGTCTGTATTTTAAAGATAATTTTTATTGGATTCTGTATTCAATAAAAGTATTTTAGGGTGCTATATTTCTATTTTAACTTACGTGATTTCTCTCTTTTTATCCATATCTGGGGTTAGCCCCATCTCCCCTCAAGTCAGTCATTTTAAGAGAAGTTAGGGTATTTGACACAAATCTGCAACCAAAGCAAGAGAAGAAGATTCATAGGCAGAACCTATCTGGGGATCAGGATAATGTGTACAGGGTGTTTAGCATTGACCAGGTCCAGAAAGTTACTTTTCTGGTTTTTCCTGAAATCTTTTTATAGAGAGGTTGAATATGAAGGTAAAGGAGATCACACTGGAAAAACAGCTATTTAATGGATGTGCACTCAATTCTGTATAAGCTATTCTTAGGATTATAAAAAATATTGTGAGATATGGTATCTGTCTTCAGGGACCTTACTTGGTCAAGAGAGAAAATAACATGGTGCAACTAGAAGGTAAACCTCATCCAAGTTTTTATTTTTGTGCCTGAATTTAAGAATTGAAAGTTTAAAAAATATTGCATGGCCTTAGAATGGATGTGACATAATGCGCATGCATGTATACAGCTTTATTTAAAAGATTCAGGTAGCAGCTCAATTTAATGATTCAGTAGTGTGATACGGCCCCTTAAAAAGCAACTGCAGCCGGGCATGGTGGCACACACCTGTAATCCCAGCACTTGGGAAGCTGAGGCAGGAGGATCATTGCGAGTTTGAGACCAGCCTGGGATACAAAGTGAGCTCAAGGCCAGCCTGAACTGCATAGCAAGAGCCTGTCTCAAAAAGACAAAAAAAAAAAGCAACTGCAATTTTCAGTTGGAGTAACTGAACAAAAATATATAGAATAAAGAAAATAAACAGGGATATTTAGCCTGATAAGGATAAGATTTAGGAGAACATGGTAGCTTTCTTTAAATATCTGAAAAACTGCCCTGGAGAAAAAGAATACATTTGCTCAATATTGCCTCCAAAGACTGGGTGAAAATTAAAGAAGACAGACTTTTGGCCTAGTGTGAGAAAGGATTGTTAAAAATGAGACTTGATCAAACATTATACAGGGTTTGTTTGCAATACAGTATTCTTTTCTAAGTAGTAAAATAGGTTTAACTATCAGATACCAGTAGGGCAGTGATGGTAGTAGTGGTATTGGATTTGGCCAGTGGTTCCTAGACTTGAATTTTAGGGCCCAGAAATATAGTTAAGTTTATTTTGCCAAGTAATGACACTAAGCAAAATCAAATACCAACTACTGTTACTTCATACAAGAATATTTTTTAATGCTCCAAGAGTAAGAAGAATATGAACTAATAATTGGTAGTAGTTTAAATTAAATACATTTAGCTGAAAAGGGCCCTGATGCCTCTATTTTTTTCATATCAGCTCAGAATTGTAAATTGCATTAAGGAACCTTTGGTCTCCCTGCTATGACTCTGCACCCTCCTTTTCACTGATTCATTATTGCTCTCTGAACTCTGAGCACATCTTCATTAAAAGGCTAGATAGCATGTAGTAAAGTCTGATAGAGTGAACTCTAAATGAGAAGAGTTGAAAGAAGGAAACAAAGTTCTGGGGAGAAGCATAGGAGCTGTCTGCAGTATTTAAGAGTATTTCAAGAAATCTTTAAAGTTGTCAATGGAGAGTGTTTTTTTTTCCCCATAAATTCAGGGGATATGCCATGGTCCTTCTTTTCTATCCCTATTCTTACACCATGTGTGTCACATTTTACTATTAATTCTAATCTTAAAATGTAGGCATAGCTAAAAATGTTGAGGTAGTATTTAGTCGAAGACTTATTTTGGGCTGCAACTGACATATTATCCAATCGTATTTTGTTTTTTAGAATTTCTTTCAACAACTTTTTCTTTTCTTTTTTTTTTTCTTTTTTGGGTTTTTCTCTGGTACTGGGAACTGAACTCACGACCTTGCACTTGCCAGGCAGGTGCTTTGCCGCTGAGCTAAATCCCCAGCCCCTCAACAACTTTTTCAAAAGAGCTCTCTTCCACATTCTGTATATAGTATTCTTGAAGTGTTCACAATTATTTTTGTGGCCTATAACTAAAACATTCACCTGCATGTTTGATATAGAAGATTATTCTTTGCTTGAAGAGAATTTCTTATGTAGAAACAAAGCAAAACCTTATTTCTAATAAGAGATTGTGACTCACATGTGCTAACATCAGATTGGCAGTGGGGAGGTGGGCAGCAAGTACTGTCTGTTAAAATGTAAATTTGGACATTTAAACTTTGAGCAATGTAATGATAATAGTTACTGAGCTAAGTGTCGCACGTATTTCTAGGTATTTTACATATATTATTTAATTTTACAATAACTATATGATGTATTTTTTTAATTCTCATAGTCAGGTAGGCATAGAGAGATTAACTTGCCCAAAGTCACAGAACTAGCAAGAGGATTTGAATTTAGGTAATCTGACTTCAGAATCTTCCTTCCTGACCATAAACCACTTGTAGTTGCTCCTGAAATTCAGAAGTATTCATACTGTGACACTCTGAAAAAGGGATGTTGAAAGGAAATCTGAGAACCCATTCTCAGAAAAGTTAGTACTTTCAACTGGACTGGGATTTAGCAGATGATGCCTAGAGCTTTAGTTCTTAAGTGTGCAAATATCAATGTTATTTAGAAACTTGCAACTTCTCAGAGACAGACTTACACCATCAATCAGAAGCTCTGGGGGACAGTCTACCAGTCCATGTTTTAATACACATTCTAGATGACTGCGGTACAATTTGCTAAAATCTGCTAAAATTTGAAACCCATTGGTCTATAGGCCAGAGCTGTGGACAAATCAAATCCAAGAGAGAAGGGCTGGGAGTAACAGAAAAAGGGAAGAAAGCTAAAAGGATTGAAGATGATGGGCCTAACGGGGGTGGCAGAGGGAAGGGAAAAGGAAGCTGGGAGCAGAAAAATTATAAAAGAACTCTTTGTATGTATGTGTTTTTAAAAGGCTAGGGAGAAGGAAGGGGAGATCTACTAGATGGATGCATGTTAAAATATCAGAGAGAAGAGAGATATCATTCACATTGCTGTCATTTGTCTGTTGACCAGAAGGAATGTATAAGAGCTACTCTGCTCAGCCTGGGCCTAGTGAGAGCACAGAGTTGTATGTAGCTAGATACAGGTCTTGGATGAACTCCAACCTTAAAGTTTAGTGGAGAGATGAGAGGACAAAGAACACCGGCAGGTAGTGATGTGAACCTGTGCTTTGCACCCAAATCAAGCTAACTGAATGCCATGAACTGCTTTTATGAGATGCCTTAGCTCATATCATTTGAATTCTGGGTTCCTTCCCTTGTAATTGTCTAGTTGTATTCTAAGTTGAGTGTACTGGATGGAGTGAAGTCTTGTTTGGGTGGGGATGACTAAAAAACATTGAAGAAACTAGAGAGAATGAAGGGCAAAAGGTTTATCTTTGTATGAATCACACATGTACTCCTACAGAATGGTAGTAAAGAAGAGATTCATGATCACCTGCACCCCTCCATTTAGTGTCATTCCACTTGTGGAATTTTTCCTCTACATGTTTTGTTTGTCAAGTTTATTGATCTAAATTATATGTTCAAATGCTAGCAAATGCTCCTCAGTTTTGTGCATTGTTCTGATTTGTGTTTGTTTTTAGCACCAGAGAAGTACCACTGTAAGCCATGAGATGTCTGGTCTGAATTGGAAACCCTTTGTATATGGCGGCCTTGCCTCTATTGTTGCTGAGTTTGGTAAGAATGTGAAAAAAATGACAAGTCCACATTTTATAATATAGATGGTGTGTGGTGCAGTTATTTTTGGTGAAAACTAGAGAAAAACAATAAGCTTTCTCTGTTTGTTTTAAAAATTATTATCTCAAAGATATCAAATAATATTTCTGAGAAAGTACCATTGTACAACAAATGAAGTGAAGAAAACCATCGGTCCACCTTTGGAAGCTTTTTTGCGAGTTTAGTGATTTGTTAATTTGCTAGGCTTAAGTAATGTGTGTAAAAATGTAGAAGCAGTTGGATCTAATAGGGGTTTCTCCTGTGTTCGTGTACTAATGAGCTTTCTTTTATGCTGTTGGTTTATAAGTCTTTTAGTAAGAATCCAAGCTTCTTTTTAAAACTTCTGTCTTATTTTAGAAGAACACTAACAAAATTGAGTAAGATTCTTCTCTATTTGATTTTAATTTTGAAATATTTTTAGAATGTAATTTTTTCATCCTCCAGATTTTCTCTTTGCTAAACTAGTTGTGACTACAGTCTACCACTTTTTGTACTTTCTTGGCGTACCCTCCGGTATGCTTGTATCTAGGTAATAAGTGACGAGAACTATGTAATCACCTTGGTAGTTTTAGACCTTGATATATTCCTTGGAATATATTTTGTCAGTGTTATAACTACTTTTGTGTGTTGAAAATAAGAAAAAGTGGTTTGTTTAAGGAATTTTACCCTCGAAGCATTTTGTTACTATTAGAACTAAATTATCTAAGGAATCAGGACTAGTAGAACCAAATAGCTTATTATCATTATCTTTTATTTTTTATAATCAGATAAAAAAACCCACAAATGTTTCAGCAGTGTATAAGAGCGCCTGGAGCAGCAAGCCTATGATTTCCTGTTTGTGAAAATTTGAGGACATTTTAAGAGGAGCGGTGGGAAGAGTTAAAGAATGTGAGCAAGAGACTGATAAAATGCCGCATTGAGTGTTGTAGATTAAATTAAGACATTATTTTGCATTTACAGTGTATTAGAATCATCTTGAAGCACTTTATATATCACAGTGTCAAGTATAGGATGGGCTAAATTGTGCTGCCTAGGTATAGTATACTACATTTCACTTTACAACATACAACTCTTATCCTCTGGCAGTGGTATTCTATTAGAGATCATCAACCATTGACTCTTTGGAAATACTTAGAAGTGAGTGTGTTCCTTTATAGGAACTTTCCCCGTGGACCTTACCAAAACACGGCTTCAAGTACAAGGCCAAAGCATCGATGTTCGCTTCAAAGAGATAAAATATAGAGGAATGTTCCATGCCTTGTTCCGAATCTATAAAGAAGAAGGTGTATTGGCTCTATATTCAGGGTAAGACTGGATTTTTTTCTTATATCATGAATGGAAAAGCTTCTTGAAGAGAGTGTGTTTTTCAACTGTATAATAGTTTGTGCCTTTATAGTCACCATTTCAGCATGTAGTTCTGTGTTGATGGGCCAGTTTTATTTTGCTGGGTTACAAGCTTTAGATTTTGTGTTTAGTTGGTTGTAAATGATACGTGTTAAAATGGGTATATCATTGCAGCTAAGGCTTTCTCTTGGTTTATCTTCTTCCAGTTTCCTAGGCCATCATAAATCTAAGCTACCAGTTTATTGCTCAGAGAATGGAAATCATTTTTATCATTAACCTGTGTTAGATTTATTTAAAAGATAATTTTTCTGGAGAAAAATATCAAATCATCATCCTGAAGCAAGTGATTCATAGATAATTTGTTTTACCTTGTTCTTCATTAGCATGAATAATCACAAGAGATTTTTTTCTGATAGCAAGCAATAGAGTAGGAAATATACATATTTAACTATATCATAACCACTTAAGCTGTTGCTTTCTATTAATACTTTCTGTATAATTCCTCAGTTTGCAGGAATCTCAAAGGAGGTATGAGTGAGAATGTTTCCAGTTTATGAGCTGAACTTAAATAGGTTGAGATCTTGGCCCTAGTACCTCCTTGTACGAGTAAAGGTATATCAGGCGTAGAGGTTAGTTGTTTAAAAAAATCTGTGATGTGGGTAATAGCATATAATTCTTTGTGTATGTTGCTGGATTCAATTTGTTAATAGTTTCTTAAAGATTTTTAAATGTAAGTTTTTTTTTTCCCTTTTCTATGGTACTGGAGATTGAGCCCAGAGCCTTTGCAATGAGCTACATCCTTAGCCCTTTTTCAATTTTTAATTTTCAGAAAGGGTCCTGCCAGGCTGGACTTGAGCTTGTGATTCTCTTGTCTCAGCCTGCCAGAATGCTGGAACCATAGGCATGTGCCACCATGCCTGGCCTCCTGTAGCATTCCTTTTTTCTACTATTTTTGTCGGGTTTTGGTACTAGGGTAATGTTAGCCACAATTAGTTGAGAAGCATTCCTACGTCTGTTTTCCAGAAAAGATTGTGTAAAATTCATGTTAATTGTTTAAACGCTTGGTAGAACACCTCAGTGAAGTTGTCTGGGCCTGAAGATTTCTTTTTTTTTTTGTTTTTTTATTTTAAAAATAAAAGGAGGAAAACATTAACAGACAGACAACCTTTCACAAAATAGCAAAAGAACAGTACAGATAATACAGAGTTACAAACAAAGTGGTAGGAAATTAACAATGCTTCTTGCATTACGTATTGATATCTTCAAAGTGGTTTCTCATGAAAACAGATAGAGACATGCAGTATTGATAAATGAAGGACTCATTGACAGTTTCTTTCAGCATAGAAATGGAAGACAGTAGAACAACTATGTTTAGGAACTTTTAAGTTATGAATTTGAATTCTTAAATGTGGTCTCACTCTGGCCACTATGTCATATACTGGGTTGGGTTCTGGGGAGTTCCTCTTTTAGGGTTGCACACTGCTAACTTCTTGTATCTTCGAGAGAGCTCTCTGGGTTCCTTTCTGTAAGGACACTAATCCCATTCATTGGTTCAGTCTGGCAACCTAATTACATCTCAAAGCCCCTGCTTCCTAATACCCTCACTTGGGTTCAGGGTTTCAACATGTGACTTTGTTGGCAGAAGGTAGAAACAGTTAGTCCATTGCAATGGCTATGAGATTTACTCAGATTATTTATTCAGATTATCTGTTTTATTCGATAGTTTGTGATTTTCAAGGCATTAGTCCAGCTCATTGTTAGAGTGCTTGCCTATCTGTGCAAGTCCTTGGGTTCAATCCTTAGTACTACCAAAACAAAAAACAAAAAATAACAACTACAGCAAAAAACCCCAAAGCATTTTGGCAGGGTGTGGTGGCACACATCTGCAATTCCAGGAGGCTGAGGCAGGAGGATCACTGCAAATTCGAGGCCAGCCTGGGCCACATAGCAAGATCTTGTTTCAAAACAAACAACCAAAAAAACCAAGAAAAAAGTGTTTTTTCTAAATTGAATTTATGAACATCAAGTTATTTATGCTATTCCCTTATACTTTTAATTGCTGCAGGATTTGTAGCCCTATTCCCTTTCATTCCAGACACTGGGGATTTGTATTTTTCATCTTTTTCATCATTGTGAATCTTGCTAGAGGTTATCCATTTTATCCTTTTTTTCTTTCTGGAGAGCCAACTTTTTCTTTCAGAGGTTTTTATTTTTGATTTATTGATTTATGCTCTTTTTTATTTTCTTCTGTAAGCTTTGGATTTATTTTCCTCTTCTTTTTCTAGTTTCTTCAGGTAGGAACTTCGATAACTGATTTGAGACTTTCCTTTGTTTCTATTGGAGGCATTTTTTTTCCCAGTAAATTTCTCTCAGCACTCTTGGCTGCATCTCATATATTTTAATAGATTGAATTTTAATTTTCATTTAGATCTGTGTATTTTTAAACTTTCCTTTGAGACCTTTTCTGACCAATGGATTTTTCACAAGTGTTTTGTTCAGTTTTCCAATGTTTGCTCTCTTTCCCTTTTTCTAGTTTGATTCCATTGTAGTTAGAGAATACACTCTGAATTCGATTCATATAAATTTGTTGAGGTATGTTTTATGACCCAGGGTATGTGCTATTTTGATCAGTGTTTTGTGGGTGCTTTAAAAATGCATATTCTGCTGTCGTTGGGTGGAATGAGATGAGTAACAGAAATGAGTAGGCTGCTTAGATATGTATAATCTGCAAATGTACCTTGAGTAAAAGTGTTTTCTTTCTCTTTTATTTGGGCAGTATTGCTCCTGCATTACTGAGACAGGCATCGTATGGCACCATTAAAATTGGGATTTACCAAAGCTTGAAACGATTATTTGTAGAACGTTTAGAAGGTCAGTATACTCACTTCTCTTTTATGGTGATCCTCAGAGGGATTATTGGAATTGTGCCTGAAAAGTGATGCCTGGAGAATGGAGGATAGTCACTGCAAGAACAAAGTGAGCTTGTACTTAGCTAGGACAAATCCTTGCAGAGATGATGTATGGGTTACAGTGATCTGCTCTTCCAATTTGTCCTGTTCCTATCAATAAAGAAGGGTTCCTGCTTGGTGTGGTGGTGTATTCCTGTAATTCCAGCACTCTGGGAGGCTGAGGCAGGAGGATTAAAAGTTCAAGCCCAGTCTGGGAAACTTAGGGATTTAATGAGATCCTATCTCAAAATAAAAAAAAAAAAAAATGACTGGGGAATATAGCTCGGTCCAAAAGCCCTGAGTTTAGTCTGCAGTACCGTTAAAGAAAAAAAGGGGTTTCTGATCATCCCAGAGGAAGCATAGAATAATAATGTCCAGAAAGTTAATGCTGTCCTCACCAATAAGGCATTTTGAATGATAGGGCATTTTCTAGCTGCCAATTTTGTGTTTGTTAGGTAGGTTAACTTCAGGCTATTAAGCTCTAGATTCTGATGTACCTATGGCTACCTCACCCACAATTAGCATTATCATATGTCTACTTGCTGCTCAGCATTTCCAGCTTGATATATGCTAAATGGTCATTTTATCACAGGCCTGGGGCTGTCGGATGGTTGGGGACAGCTGGAGAACCTTTTGGTTAGTAATGTCCTTTGAATCTCATTATTGTCCTGAATCAGCTTTTCTGGAGCTTTTTGGATATACTGAAGGTTTCCCTTCCACCTCTTCCTAAAAGAATTTCCGTTCCTAAATTCTTAACTTGAGTTTACTTACCTTGTGTTTGTAGGTTCTTCATGGTGAGGAGGAGTAGCGAAGATTGAATTTTTCTTGTAGAACAGTATGCTCTGTAGTTTCTGTGTTCTTTCTTCAAGCTGGTGGAATTGGTTCTAAATGATTGCTCTCCAGAATGAGGGTGTGTAGCTCAGAGTCTCTACGCTTGCCTAATATGCTGAGGCTCTGGGTACAGTCCCTAGCGTTGTGTAAATAAACAAATAAATCACTGCTTTTTCACATTTGACTACAGAAGCCTTCTGTAAATAAATAAAGGCTAGAAGAAATCTAAGACCATTCAAAGTTAATACTTAGATATTAAGATATTCTATTAAACATAAGATTTTATCTTTTAACATTCAGTTAAATTTTTAGAGTAGATGACTATCCATACAAAGACTTACAAATATATACTTTTGATATTTGAAGTGGTTGAAGGGGAAATAGCACTTTCTGAATTTATGTGGAGTACTGACAATTGTGTAGAGTAATAGGACATGTTCCTGTGTCTTTTAGAAATACTTTTTTAGAAATAATGATTTATACTTTTTGTATATTAGATACAGATTTGTGATCTAGAAATGTTTGGGTTTCTTTACTTTCTTACTTTCAGAAGCTTTGTAGTTTTTCTCTGAAATCTTATTTCTGACCATGGTTTTTTCTCTTCCTTCCGTAGCTCAGTCCTCTGTTCTCAGAAATTAGTGCCTAATAAAAAACAGAACTTTTCTATCCTTTTTACAGATGAAACTCTTCTAATTAATATGATCTGTGGGGTAGTGTCAGGAGTGATATCTTCCACTATAGCCAACCCCACTGATGTTCTAAAGGTAAGAGAGATGTCTGCAGTGTGATTTGAGAAGAGCACACACTTTAAGTTAGATTTGGGTTTAGATTTCCACTCTGTCCATTGTCAGCTATAAAATCTTGAATAAATCACTTCATTGCATCAAGCCTCATTTAGTTTCCTCATTTGTAAAGTGAAGACAATGAAGTTTTTATAGCATAGAGTTGTTGAGAATCAGAGATACTCTGTAAACGGATTAACATTATACTTGGTAGTAAGTGGTCAGTAAATACAGGTAGTAGTCAATTTATTATGAGATGCATTAATTCATTGATCTTCAAACTGGGGTATGGAAACCTTGATAGGTTATTTTTAAAGGGTTGTACAGTTTTGAAGTCATCAGTTTCTGGATCTCTTACTCATTCCTAAAACTGACCTGAGAATGAATCTGCGTATCTAGTAACTCTTCCATTTTACTAAAGAAAGGCATATCTCTTACCCATTCCAAATCTTTATATTCAGTAATATCATGGCCTGAAGTGTAACCTCGATATTAGCAAGAAATACATTGAAATACAGTTTTTGGGAATAGTCTCCTTTAATAGCTGAGTTACCTTAAATCTTTACTGCCTCTGTCTTTCCCTGTCTTACCCATATTTGTATGAAAAGTGAGATTTGGCTTTTAAAATGATATATTTTGTCCTGTGTTAGACTATTCTGAATTTGGGACGATAACACTCTAGGTTAGTGGTCTTCATTTATTAAAAATATAATTGAATTTCTTTAAGGTTTTCTCAAATCATAGAATGAAAAACCTAATATAAATATTCACTGTACTTTATCGCATAAAATTATATAATTTATTAACATTTAAGAACTAAATATATGACTAAAATATGTGAGAGGATCCTAAGGTTTTAAAAATTGTTTTGGAGGTGGGATATGAGAAAAAAGAAAGAGGACATGTGCTTTTTTTCACAGCTGATGAAACTGCCAGTGGCTAGGCTAGTGAAGAAGAGATCTGCAGTTCAGAGTTTTGAGAATTTAGAGTTGAAAAACAGTACACTTGAAAGAAACCACTGGTGGTTCAGGGAGAAAAGATGTGAAACATAATATTTCTGAATTAAAATGAATGCAATTTAGCTACAGAGCTTTTATATCTACTTTAGATGTACAGAACAAGTATTTATGAAGAGAATTGATTGTATTCTATAACTCTAGAATATATGAAGTATTGTATTTGTTAGAATGTGCTTTTCAAGAAACAGAATTCTTCACTCCCTGAAATTTCTTGGTTATCCATTTGGATCCTAGACTTAATCACCTAAATGATTCACTTCAATTTCTTGTCCCTCTGACCTCTCTGACAAAATTATAAGCGTTGACTAATGCTATAATCTACTTTTTCCTTTCTTGTACCTTAGTGTAGGACTGAGCAATGCCGAGCAGAGGAAAAGTCACAATTTTAGATATGGACTGTACCAATATGATTTATAAAAGCAGTTGGGCTGTTTGGAAGATAGGTATGGTATCACATGCCTATAATTCCAGCACTGGGGAGGCTGAGTCTGAGTTTGAGATCAACCTACTACATAGTGAGGCCCTGTCTCAAAAAATACTGGGCTGTTTGGTCCTTTCACTTATCCTTGGACAGCTTCTTTTCCTATTCTCAAGGACATTTTTAAGCCTTCCTTTCATCTTTTTTGCTCTTTCTCTCAGCAGATAACCCTTGGATGATAACCCTTCCTGTGGATTCACCTACCTCTCCACTTTGTCTTTTCCACTCTTCATCTATAAATTTATTTACGTTTATACTTGTCTGTACCATGCCTCTACGGTAGTGATTTTCAAAATGTATTTCTCTAGTCCTGGAGCAACATTACCTGGGGACATGTTCTCAGGTATCCCATGCTTATGGGATCAGAAAGGGTGAGGCGGGGCCCAGCAGTGTGTGTTTTGACAAGCTCTCTAGGTGATTTTGATACATGACCAAGTTTGAAGCCATGGCTTTATTCTGCTCTTATTCACTGCTCTCTCATTAGCCACCTTTCCGTATCATTTATCCTCTTTCTTTTTTATCTGCAGCCTCTTCCTTTCTTCTAGTTAGCTCCCCTCAAATGATAAGTGTGTTAAGGTCTATCAATCCAAAAACACTTTCTCCTGACCCTCTGGTCTGAGAACACTACCTCTCTCTTTATTGCCTTATTCAGATTTCACAAAAAGAGTACTCCTCATCTTCAACTCCCTCCATAACCTGCTGTCATCATGTCTGCTATTTGCTTGAAATGACTCTCCCTAGAGTTAGCAGCTATGGCTACATTATCCAATTCAGTGGACATTTTGTTTTATTTATGTACGTATATATGTATGTATGTATATTTATTTATTTGAGACAGGGTCTCACTATGTCATTCAGGCTAGCCTTGATCTCACTATGTAGCCCAGGCTGGGCTTGAACTCACAGCAGTCCTCCTGCCTCAGCCTCCCAAGTGGTGGGATTACAGGTGTGCGCCACCACACCTAGCCAAGTGGACATTTTAGTTCTCAACTTGTTTTGACTAATTTCTCCTGCTTAAAGTTCTTTCATTTTGATCCTTTTACTCTGTTTCATACTTCTTAATTTCCTTTGTTCTATTTTTTTCTGTGCATACCTTAAATCTTTCTGTTCTTCAACTCCAAGTTCCAGCCTTAACTCATTTTTTTCTTCTGTACTCTCCCTGGTTGGCCCTTTATTTTTCATTTTCTTTTCTTTTCTTTCTTTGAAGTACTGGGGATTGAGCCCTGGCCCTTTGCACTGTTCCATATCCCTAGCCCCTTCTTAATCTTTAAATTTTATGATAGGGTATCACTAAGTTGTGGCTTGAACTTGGCTGTCCTCCTGCCTCAGCCCTCTAGAGTGCTGGGATTATAAGTATGCACTGCCATGCATAGCTGGCCTTTTTTTATTTTTGAGACAGGGTCTTGCTATGCAGTGCAGGCTGGCCTTGAGCTCACTTTGTAGCCTAGGCTCATCTCAAACTCGCAGTGATCCTCCTGCCTCAGCCTCCGAAATGCTGGGATAACAGGTGTGTTCCACCACGCCCGGCCGAAAACTCAAACAGCGTTTTATATGCTCTTTTTTTGCGGAGGGGGGGGTACCAGGAATCAAACTCAGGACCTTGTGCTTATCAGGCCGGTGCTTGTGCCAGTGGGCTATATCCTGGCCCTCAGCATTTTCGTTTTTAAGATTTTAGCTCTCATTCTGTTGTTTACAGTATAGGCTAAGCTATAAAAAGGAACTCAAAAATACAAGCCTTAAACAAGATAGCAGATGATTTCCTCCTCATGTAGCAAGGTCAAGTAGTTTATGCTGGTGGGTGGACCTCACCCACCTGTTCATCTAGGTTCAAGATTCCCTCAGTTTTGCTGCACTGCCGTCTGCTAGAGCAGGGCTGACAAACTACTGTGTGGGGGCAAATCTAACCTTATGTCTGTGGTAAGTAAAGTTTTATTGGCACACAGCCGCACTGTTTCTGTACTGCCTGTGGTTGCTGTTGTGTTTCTGTGGCAGGACCAAATGGCTGGGACAGAGGCTACAAACCCTGTGAAGTCTGCTATATTTACTATCTGGTCCTTTACAGAAAGTCTGTTGACCCCTGCCCCATGGTACTGTTTTAATCTGTTTATTTGAAATTGGGCTACCATTGCCTCTGTTCTACTCCACAGGAAGACAGAGTCAGGGGAAAGCAATTTTTGTTTTTCTTTTCAAAAATAAAATCAGATTGAAGTTTGCTATGTAATAAGAGAGCACAGATCGTGATCCAGAGATTTCAAACCAACCGGTAGGAAGTTCACCTTGCAGCAGTCACAGCACAGTTGTGATCCATACCGGAGGAAGTGCAGCCATCCCTCAATATCCATGACAGGATTGGTTCCAGGTCCTTGACCCCCATACCAAAATCTTTGGGTGCCCAAGTTCCTTATATAAAATGGCACAGTGTTTGCGTATAACTTACACATATCCTCATGTACACTTTAAATCATTTCTAGATTACTACTTATAACACCTAATATATTATAAATGCAATATAGTTATTATACTCTGTCCCAAGAATGGCAAGGAAAAGTCTATCTGTGTTCAACACAAATGCAAAATTTTCCTGAATATTTTCAGTCAGTGGTGGTTTGAATCTGCAGATACAGGACTGTTGATATGGATGGGTGACTATATTTTGACCTTTTTTGAATGGCTGTTATACACTGTTATTCTTTTTAAGGAAACTGAACTGTTTAAGCTGATTTGTCTATACTTGAACCATGCTGACGAGGATGTAAAGCTTATATTTTGTGTGTATGATTAGAAATAGTATCTTGGAAAAATGATTAACTTTTGTGTAATAGGCACTTGGTCTTGGGGTATATCTTAACTGTGGCCTTCTTTTTTTTTTACAGTTTAAATCTTTATGTAGCTTTTGATAAACAATTTCAAACATACACAAAAATAGAGATAAGTATAATAGAGCGAACATTCTGTATGTATCACTTACATTCACCTGCCTCCGTCTAGTCCTAATCCTGCTTAGGAATCACCTCCTTGAAGAAATCTACTTACCATAGGGTTGTTTTGATTTGTCTTTAGGATAGTTTGCATGTTGATTTAATTTTTTTACATAAAAACTCTTAGTAGTGGTGGTTGACTTCTTGCATAATAGCATGCTGCTAGTACATTACATAACAAGGACTTTGTTGAAACCTGTAATGCTATAGTTGTGCTTCGTAAAATAGAAAACCAGACCTACATTTGAGCCACTAGTTTTTGTGGTGTTTTTTTTTTTTTCTCTCTCTCCTTTTGTGGTACTGGGAATTGAACCCAGGGTCTTTGTGCTGAGCTTCATTCCCAACCCTTTTTATTTTTATTTTTATTTTTATTTTTATTTTATTTTTATTTTTATTTTTTTATTTTAAGGATAAAAGGAGGGAAACATTAACAGACATACAACATTTTACAACATATCACAAGCACAATACAGACAATACAGAGTTCCAAACAAAGTGGTAGGGAATTAACAATGGTGGTTGTATTACATATTGATATCTTCAAAGTGGCTTCTCATGAAAACAGATATAGACATGCAATACTGGTCAACCAAAGACTCATTGACAGTTTCTTTCAGCATAGAAACAGCAGATAGAAGAACAACCATGTTATCTATCCTGTATATACATACATACAAAATTTCTCCTTCTTTCCCTTCTCTCTTCCCACATCCCAGAAGCCCTTTACTCTTCGGTGGTTTCCTATCATTTCACGGTGTCTATCATACCTCTGAGTTTAACTTAACTCTTTCAAGTTTTACACTAGTGACACAATGCGGTGCTTGCACATGTATGTTTGATTTATTTCACTTATGAGTATGGTCTCTAGTTGTGACCATTTAAATATAAAGGCCTCGAGTTTATCTTTCTTTACAGCTGAGTAATATTCCATTATATAAAAGTACCATAATTTTCTTATCCAATCCTCGGTGGATGGACATTTGGGTTGCTTCCACATTTTAGCAATTACAAATTGTGCTGCTATGAACATAGGTGCACATATATCACTGTGATATGATGTTTTTAGATCTTCTGGGAAAATACCCAGCAGGGGGATAGCTGGGTTGAATGGGACCTCTAAACCTAGTTTTCGGAGGAATCTCCAAACTGATTTCCACAGTGGTTTCACCAGTCTGCATTCCCACCAGCAGTGGAGAAGGGTTCCTATTTCTCCACAGCCTCGCCAGCATTTGTTATTGGTTGATTTCTTAATGCTAGCCATTCTTACTGGGGTAAGGTGGAATCTTAGTGTTGTTTTAATTTGCATTTCTCGAATGACTAATGATGTTGAACATTTTCTCATATATTTATTTGCCGTTTGTATCTCCTTGTCTGAGAAATGTGTGTTCATCTCAGCTGCCCATTTTTGGATTGGGTCTTTGAATTTGGAGGGGCTGAAATTTTTTAATTCTTTATATGTTCTAGATAGAAGCCCTTTGTCTGAGGGACAATCAGCTAAAATTTTTTTGAGACAGGGTCTTGTCAATTCATTAAGTTGCCTAGGCTGGGTTTGAAGTTGTGATCCTCCTGTGTCAGCCTCTCAGAGTGCTGGGAGCCACTAGAATGTAATGGCGAAGTACAGTGATTTGTGGGAAGTTATACCAAATCTTTTACATGGCTATTGAATGCTATATTTTTTGTCGTACAGCGCTCAAAGGCCACTTGACTAGATATAGTATCATGCTTTTTACAAATGAAACTCAATTTAAGGTCTTGTGAGCATAGAATTATATTAGAAAACATTTTAACTTTTTATAATTATGTAAGGAATGCATGTTCAATGTAGAGAGAAGTGAAGGGCAGAACAAAAACCACAACAGTAAATGCCCACTTGTAACCTTACCATTCAGACATGAATCACTGTCAGTGTTTGGGTATATATGTTTGTTCATCCAGTCTCCTTGCTGTATTTATGGATACTCTAAGGTTTACATGTTTTTAATAAAATTGATGCACATACTGTAACTGTTTTTCTATTTAGCAATGAATTTTTTTTTCTACATTTTCCAATGCCAACAAATATTGTACAAGAAAATTTTATGGTTCTGTAAAATGTTTTATTAAATGGATGTGTCATTTATATAACCTATTTGTTATTTTTAAAATTTAATCATAAAAGTTATTTTCTATATTCACTGAATACTAGTTCTCTTCCCCAAATTTTCTTCTATCTTCAGAAATGAACTTAGTATGCAGAATATGAGGCTAATGAAAATCAGCTTTAAAACCTACTCTTTGACACACAGTGTTTCTGTCTACAGTTTACCGCATTAATTTCATCATAATAGCAGAGATTTTTCTGAAAATTCTCAGATGCTTTTTTTTTTCTTTTTTCAAATGCTTTTTATCTTAATTTTAAATGAGTGAAACATTTCAGTTTGGTTCTTTCTGTCAAAACAAAATGTTCACTTCTTATTTTAGATTCGAATGCAGGCTCAAGGAAGCTTGTTCCAAGGGAGCATGATTGGCAGCTTCATTGATATATACCAACAAGAGGGTACCAGGGGTCTGTGGAGGGTGAGTACTCCTTCTGGTAATGTTGTGTACTCTTGAGTTCCTAATATTTGCAAAGAATATTTTTATACAAGCCATAAAATGTGAATTCTGATTCCCAAAACAAGTAAGAAACTCCTCATCAAACCTGTGAAAGAACTAAAAGGTTATCGGTGGTTTTTATTTCTGCTTAGTATTGGGAGATTATATTGTGGAAAAAGTTATTACATTATTTGAGATAGCCATTCTACTTTGCACAACTTCATTAGTGAATTTAGTTTGTCAGTGTATTTTTTGCCAGTTTTGTGCTAACACACTAATGTTTATCGATGATGGACTCTGTAGTGCTAATGTTCAAAAGATGTTATTTCAAACAACTTTTTTCTGTGGCGTTGGAGGTCAAACCCAGGGCTTCACTTAGGCTAGGCAAGCACTCTACCACTACACTGCACCCTTGGCTCAAAACAACTTTAAGCTTGTGATAAGTAAAAGATGTACTGGAAAATATTAGGAATATGTAGAAAATTTAAAAATATCAGTAGTACAACCACCCAGACATAATGACTGTTAACATTTTGTCATATTATCTTCTAGTCTTCTTTTTATACTTTGCTTTTTGTTGTCATCATTGCTATCTATACCTTTTTAATTCATTCTAATCACAGAATGTTGTAATAGTAAATGAGACTCCTAGTGGAATATCAAGAGAGAGTGGGATGGGAAATCCATTAATATACTTCTGAATACAAATGAAGGCTTTGCAGTTCTTCCTCCTTTGTCATTTTCCACGACTACTTATTATAAACACCCAAACATAAAGAAAAGTTGAAAGAATTGAACTATGAACACTACATACTCATGACCTAGATTAAATGACTGATAAAGCTTGCAGTATTTATGTGTGTATATACATATATACACACTTGTTTTGCTAAACTGTATGAAAGTAAGTTATACACATTATGGCACGCTCCTTAATTCTTCATTATTCAGAACATAAACGTTCTCCTATATAACAATACCAGTATCACATGAAAAAATGAACAGTAAATCCTTAGTACTTAATATCAAGTTCATATTAAAATTTCTTGTATTGATGAGACCAAGGTAGTTTTCTTATGGAATATTTCCATGTATGTTTAACTTGTTCCCCAGTGTATTTATACACTGAAAGTTGAGACCATTGGCTTGAACATATTCATGTTAAACTTTTCGGTGGAAGCTTCTTAGGCGATGCTGTGTATTTCATGCTGCATCACAGCAAGAGGTGCACAGTGCTGGGTTACCCCATGAGTAGTTGTGCTAAGTTTAATTACTCAGTAAGGTGAGATCCACCAGGCCTTATTGTGTAAAAAGTTTTCCCAATTAGCAATTAGCAAGTAATCTGTGGGGTGTTATTCTACAATATGTGTACATCCTAATACCTAATAACTGAACATAATTGCTTTTATGATATGAGCTACTTACATGATTCGGGTACCTAGCTAAAGAATCAAAGTACATTGTGTTACATGTTCTTTTTGAGACAGAATAACCTCTCACCTAATGATCTTATCATCCAGGAATGATTCGTAAGGCTTGCTTTTTGATAACAGCAGTGTGTACTTTGTTGATTAGTCTAATTCAGTGATGGTGAACCTTTCAGAGCTTTCAATGATAACTGTTATGGTTTGTGTCTGGGTGTCCGAACCCAAAGTCTCATGTAGTTATAGGGTGGGCCTCTAGATTTTATGGTTGATCCATGGTCCAATGCTGGGACAGTGTAAGGGAGGGAAAGAGACTTGCTTGTGGCTCCTCCATTTTGCTCTTGCTGCTTTTGCTATCTTCTGCCTCCATGAACTGTTGCCTTCTGCATGTTCCATCCTGCCTTGGAGCCAGCCAAGTATGGACTGAAACCTCCACCAACTGTGAGCTAAATAAACCTTCCCTTCCTTAATTCTGGGTGTCAGGTGTTTTGTCTCAGCAGTGAGAGAAAAGTAACCAAGACAATAACAAACAGCCAGCTGTGGCACACGTGCCATCAGTTCGCCACCACTGGTAAAACCAGAAAACAGAACTAACTAGAAATTTTTAAATAAACAGATGGCAAGGGACAAAGACAAAGCAGTAAATACAGTTGGAGCTTTTTGTCAGTGGAGCACAGCTATTTTATTTTTTATTTATTTTAAAATTTTATTTATTTGTCTTTTTGAGACAGGGTCTCGCTATGTAATTCAAGCTGGCCTTGAGCTCACTTTGTAGCCTAGGCTGGTCTTGAACTCACAACAACCCTCCTGCCTCAGCCTCTTGAGTGCTGGGATTACAGGCCTGTGCCACCATGTCCAGCACAATTTTGGTTTTTTTTTTTTGAGACAGGGTCTTGCTATGTAGTTTAGGCTGGCCTTGAACTTGCTTATGTAGCCCAGACTGGCCTTGAACTCATGGGAATCTTCCTGCCTCAGCTGCCAAAGTACTGTGATTACAGGTGTGCAATGGCACGCCTGGCTTTTATTTTTTTATTTTTTATTTTTTTTTGGTTTTTTTTTTTTGGTTTTTTTCCGGTACCGGGAACCGAACTCACGACCTTGCGCTTGCCAGGCAGGCGCTTTGCCGCTGAGCTAAATCCCCAGCCCCTATGGCTTTTATTTTTAATTGTGGTAAAGTACACATAAAAATCTACCCTCTTAACCATTTTAAGTGTGCAGCTGAGTAGAATTAAGTACATTCACATTGTTGTGCAGCCAGTCTCCATAACACTTCATCTTGTAAAACTGAAACTGAAGAGCAGTTAAACAGTAGCTCCCAGTTTCCTCCTTTCCCAAGGCTCTGAAAGCCCCCTTTCTACTCTCTGTCTCTATGAATTTGACTAGTCTCGATATTTCACCTAAATGGAGTCATACGGTATGTGGCTTCAATGGGATTTCACTTAGCATGATGTCCCAAGTATCATCCATGTAGTGGCATGTGTCAGGATTTCTTTCCTTTTTAAGGCTGAATAATATTCCATTGTAAGTGTACACCACATTTTGTTTATGTATTCAACTGTTGATGATACCTGGGTGACTTTAACCTTTTGGCTATTGTGAATGATGCTGCTATGTACTTAGATGTACAAGTATCTCTTTGAGAACCTGCTCTCAATTTGAGGGGTTGTGTACCCAGAAGTAGCATTGCTGGATCATATGATAATCCTGTGTTTAATTTTTTGAGGAACTGAGCATAGCTTTTCCATGATATAGCCTACTTACATGTTCTACGCATGTAAGAACATGTGATGCTGGGATCAAGGGTGATTTCTTTAAAATAAAGAAGCAAAGTATGTATTCTTTTGAGACAGACATTTTATTTCCATATTAAAAGTATAGGATTATTTCTTCATTTCAGGGAAATGAAGGAAATATTTTTTTTTAGACACAGGTTCTTCTTTGCTTTCTTTTTCTTTTTTCTTTTTCTTTTTTTGAGACAGGTTCTTACTGTGCACTTCAGGCTGACCTTGAATTTACTCTGTAGCCCAGGCTGGCCTCAAATTTACAGCAGTGTGAGCGCTGAGATGATAGGTGTGTGCCACACCCAGCTTATTTTCCTGCTCTGGTATTAGCATGGGTACTAGAAACATTTCACTTTCTTAACTCTGTTGGAAGGGAGAACAGCAGGAGTGCAATAACAAAGTGCAGTTGGCACTGACTTCAGAGTTGGAGAGACAGCTGTGAACTGGAGAGCACCTGGCCTGTTGAAAACAGACAGCTGCTCCTCAACTCCAGCCTTTTGCTGCCATATGTTGATGGTGAGCCCAGTATGTCCAGATTTTTCTGGCTTGTCAAGAGAAACGGGCAACCTTCATTTCTATGTGAAATATACTGATTTTTTGCACATTGCCAGCTGAGTCTTTTAGAAATACTACGTGAGCCATGCAAAACATGTCAGTAGCCTGAATTTGGTGTGTGGGCCCCAGTTTGGAGCCTTAGTGTTCACCAACGTGGTCTTGCGGGAAGGTTATCCTCTTTAAACAGAGACAAGCAAGTGGAGGAGTCTGAGAAGTAGGCAGTATTTCTCCAGATCAGCAGGATCAAGCATCTCAGCATAGCTATATCACATCTACTTTATAAATCGAGGTTAGGAATTTAAATTTAGTTCAAGGGTTGAACACTTTAAAATAAGAGTTATCTCAGAAAGGAGTTATCACCATGGTATGTTGTTTTCAATTTTTAAAGCGTATTTTCATTCATTCCCTATTTTATTGAGAGATGATTGACAAAACTTGTGCATGCTTAAGGCATGAAAATGAAAATGAAGTCATGTGTTATCCTAATCCCAGAAAAAAGTTTTAATGTATTTCTTTCTAATCCTTTCTAAAAATTTGGTTCATATAAATATATGTATATAATAATATATAATTTCATATCTTATGTCTTAGTCACTTTTCCTCATTGCTGAGACAAATACCCAATAGGCACAGTTAAGGGAGGAAAGGTGCAGTTAGCTCACAGTTTATAGAGGTTTCAGTTCATAGTTGGCTGGCTCCAAGGCAGGGTGGCATGGCAGAGGGGCATGGCAGAGGAGGAATAGTTCATAGTGGGCAGAAGGCAGCAAAGCAGCAGCAAATGACAACAGCAGCCCTCTTTCGGTCCTGGCTACATTCCCTTAGGGCGGGTAGTACTCACACCCAGGTTGGGCCTTCCAGTTATCCACACCAAGAACTATGCCAAACCAATTAGTAGACTAATGTGGTAATCATACACCCTTGATCCCAGCATCACACAGTCCTAGCATCACACATTGTAGATCCAGCTACCTCGAAAATGTCCACCTATAACTACATGAGGCTTTGGGGGGAACATCTAGAAAAGGCAAGCCACAACATCTTGCCTTTTTTTTTTTTATACTGGCGATTGAACCCCAGGGCCTTTTCACTGAGCTGCATTCCCAGTCTATTTTTTTTTTAGTTTATTTTTAAATTTTAAGACAGGGTCTTGCTAAGTCACTAAATTGCTAAATCCCAGGTTGCGCTCAGACTTGTGATCCTCCTGCCTCAGCCTCCCAGAATGCTGGGTTTAGAGGTGTGCACCAACATGCTTAGCTTGTCTTGCCTTCTTCAATGTTATCTCACAAGAATTTTCTTATATCATTAATATTCTTCAAAAATATGTCTTTTAACACTCTAGCAACCCTGTGCTGTTATGTGAGCTGTGATGGGAACATTGTGAGTACAACATTGATAATGTTACCACAAGAAGACTTGTAATGGAGGTACTACTTTCCCTTGGCCCTTCCCCAGTTGTTTCACACCTTTGCTGTCACCCTAGTATGTGTCTTTTCTGCCTATCCTACAGCTCTGTGAATTAAACTTGGAAGATCGCCTCTCCTCACTGACTTTCACTTTATGATTTTACTCTTGATAATAGCTTTATTGGGATAAATCACATACCATGAAATTCACCATCTTTACAGTGTACAACTTAAAGGGTTTCAGTATATTCATAGATTTGTATGTAATCGGTATCATCTTTAAGTTCAAAATATTTTCATTACAAAAAGAAACCTACCCTTTAGTAGTCATTTCCGATTTTCTCCAGTTCTCCTGCCCCAGACAACCACAGCACAACTTTCTGCCTCTATAGATTTGCCTGGTTTAGGTATTTCATATAAATGGAATCATATGATATTATGGCTTGTATCTAGATGTTCCCCCAAAGGCTCATGTGGTCATAGGTGGGGTTTCTCAGAGGTGGCTGGACTGGATCTAGGGTGTATGCTGCTGGGATCTAGGATGTGATGCCGGGATTCACTCATGGTGCAATGCTAGGATTAAGGCTGCCCTACCCTGGTTGTGAGTGCTACCTGCCCTAAGCATGGGTAGCCTGGATAGATATAAGGGACAGAAAGAAAGTTGCTGCTTATAGCTTGTCACTTGCTTCTTGTCACTTTGCTTCTTCACTACTTTGCTGTCTTCTGCCCACCATGAGCTATTCCACCTCTGCGATGCCCCTCTGCCATGCCACCCTACCTTTGAGCCGGCCAACCATGAACTGAAACCTCTATGAACTGTAAACTAAACAAACCTTTCCTCCTTTAACTTTTGTGTTAGCAACAAGAAAAATACCTAAGACCCATGATATATAGTGTATAGTGACTGGCTTAGTCATTAGTATACTGTTTTCAGTGTTAATCCGTGTTGTAGCATGTGTCAGTACTTCATTTCATTTTTCTAGTTTTTGTTGTGCTGGGGATGAAACATGGAGCTTGTGCATGCTAGGCAAGTACTCTACCACTGAGCTGCCACGCAGGCTTAGTACTTCATTGTTTAAAAGCTGAATCATGATTCAGTTGTATTGTTATGTTACTGGGTTTGGGGGTGCTGGAGTCTCCTTGAGGTGGTTTCTCTAGGTTCTTTCTGTCCTGAATAAAGAATTCGTCAAGGCAAATACAGATGGTAATAAGGGTTCACATTTATTAAAGATAGGAAAAGTGAAACAAGCTCTGTAGAGCAAGTTTGGGCTAAGTAGGAAAAGAAATATGCTCTACAGGAGAGAATGGGCTATCATGAGAGAACACAGTGGCAAAAAGTCAATGTGGACCGTCCTTTTCATATCTCCCACACCTCAGGCTGATGTGAGGGCTAGGCCATTCTATCAAAAGTTGTTCAAGTTCTTGCAAGAAGTCCATGTGCAGGGCTTTGGGAACTATGTCTGTGATTTTGTAATTTAACCAGCCATCTTTGTCATGCCCTAATCTCTCTGAGTTGTACCACATTTTTTGTTTATCCCTTCTTTGGTTATTTGGATTATTTTGTACTTTTTGGCTGTTCTGCGTATTGCTACTGTGAATACTGGTTTCTCTTTTCTTTATGAAAATATTTTCAGTTCTCTAGGGTATATACTTAAGTATGGAATTGCTGGGTCATATGGTAATTTTATGTTTAACTTTTTCAGGAAATGTCAAAATGTTTTCCACAGTGGCTCCCCTGTTTTTACATTCCCACCAGAAGTATATAAGGGTTCCTATTTCTCCACCTCTTCATCAACACTATCTTACTTTTAAAAAATTATTGTCACACTAGTAGGTATGAAGTAGTATGTCATTGTTATGATTTGCATTTCTCTAATGATGAGTGATGTTAAACAACTTTTCATGTGCTTATTGGCCGTTCATGTGTCTTCTTTGGGGCAAATGTCTTGAGATCTTTTGCTCATTTTTAATTGGATTGTTTTGCCTTTTTATTTCATTATAAGAGTTCTTTATATATTCTGGGTATTAGGTCCTCATCAGATACATGATTTGCAAATACTTTTTTTTCTGTTGCGTAGGGTGTCTTCACTTTCTTGATAGTATCTTTTTAATCACAAAAGTTTTTCATTATAACAAAGTCAAATTTATCCTCTTCTTTCATCTCTAATGGTATAGGTGTCATATCCATGATTTTATTTTTAGTACAGCAAGTGAACTGGACATTTATAAGTGTTCAAGTTATACTCATTTATTTGAAAGAATTACCTCCATATTTCAGACTTGGATTTTTGTTGCACCTTTGAACTCTCAAGTTATTTTTTATTCACTTTAAAACTTTTGTCGCTCTGTATTTCCTTAATGTCTAATGTCACTGGTGTTTTGTAGGGTGTGGTCCCAACTGCTCAGCGTGCTGCCATCGTTGTAGGAGTAGAGCTACCAGTCTATGATATTACCAAGAAGCACCTAATACTGTCAGGAATGATGGGTGACACAATTTTGACTCACTTTGTGTAAGTAGGATAGGATGTGCTGGTTCTGTATTTCTGGAAATTTGTGCACAAAATGCCTCTTTCATTGACATACTCAGGTGGAACTGATAACTGGTATATATGACCTTACTACCCTTGCCTCTCCTATTACAAGCACTTTACATCTTCTGAACATTTTACACTTCACACAGATCCCAAATGTTATGGGTACTCAGATACTTAGGGGCAGTGTGTAATACAGCAGCCTACAGTATGTTGCTATGATTTGCATGTATTCAAACATGACTGTATATCTATTAAGGACATCGATTATTAGCTTTTGTTAATTTCATATCAGAAAACAAATTTTTCTCAGTGGGAATCAGAAAAAATGACAAAATTTAGAGTCTCTTAAATTTGACCATAGTTTTGGCTGAAAACTATTGCTCATCTCATCTTCCCTTTTCTTTCTCGTGTAATCTTTATGATATTTTGCTACTCAAATGCATTTGGTATATGATTCTGTGCTTTGAAAACTTTATGTAACTAATAGATGATACATGAGACTGCCTGGTTCTGGATCTTGTTAGGCTTAAAAACTGTCTTGTTTAAAAAGAAGAGACCAAATTTCAGATTGAAATCTGAAGGGGCAATCTGTGCATGATGTCTCTTTAGAAAAAAATTTCTTTTCTCTTTAGATTTTAACGCAAAGGCAAGTGTCAGGGTGTATCTGATGCGTCTGAGTTATTGTACCTTCATGTTTGGCCTAATTTCTATTTAAGTTGGGCAGAAGGTGGAAATGGGGGAGATCTGTCTTCTTAAAGTTTACATCTTCAGTTCCAGCTTTACATGCGGCTTGGCCGGGGCTCTGGCGTCCAATCCAGTTGACGTGGTGCGAACTCGCATGATGAACCAGAGGGCAATTGTGGGACATGTGGACCTCTATAAGGGTACTTTGGATGGTATTCTAAAGGTATGCATACTACAGATTTGGGTTACATTTTTACTTTTCTTTGATGTCTTAGACCTTTTTTCAGTTCTTATTCCTAGTTGCTGTATAGTATTCCAAAGATGAAAGAACCAACACATGTATTTTTAGTAGTTCTCAGAGTTATCCTCAGGTAGAAAGCTGTCTCTTTGGCAACCTGCTGGTTCATGGTAGTCCTTGGTATTTATTATTCCAATTTAAGTGCTTGAGAGTACAAGATGCTTTTATTAATAGCTTCATGTAGAAGTATCAGGAGAGAAAAACATACCTTGCATTTTTCCACTTTAGATAAGAGAGAGACCCTATAATAGAAAACTTGTCACTTAAAAACTAAAAACGTGGTACCTGATTGGGGGTTGTTCTGTTGTTCAGTTTGCTTTGAAAGTTTCTGTTGTTATGTTTGTAGGAAGCGATATATCATAAATGTATTATATAATTTGATGATGCTACTACAGAAACAAATTTGGGCTAAAATATGACAGTGCTGTTTAGTTTCTCTGCTGTTATCAGTCTCGTTGAACAACTGCTTATTATATATCAGGAACTACTTTAGCAGCAGCAGAGAAATTATGGCTATTACAAAAGTACTATAGGTGTACAAACCAGATAATCAATACAAATGGGTAAGTGATAAGCTCAGTTCTATGGGATGAAATTACAACCCAATTTGGAAGTTTGAAATAGACATCCTGTGGATGGTGGTAAATTTAATAAAATAAGTCACATCTGTTGAGTAATTTGTTGTGTGTTGGGAACTGTCCTAATGAAGCTTATATATACAGTATTCATTCATTCATTCATTTAGTCCTCACCCTTACCCCATAGATAGATGCGGAAGCACTGCGGGATTCAGTAACCTCCTCAAGGTTTGACAGCTAGTAAGTAGGAGTTTGGGAGTCGATTCAAACCCTTTGGCTTCCAGCTGACCTTCTTAACTTCTACACTGTGATGCCTTCCTCAATTTGATGGATTAGGGTTGGCTAGGTTATAAAGGGTATTGATTGTTATACTAAGATGCTTGGACTTTTTAAATGTAATGACAAATACTGAAAGCTATCAATCAGGCCAGATTTGCATTTTCAATAGATCACTCTGGCTTTCTGAAGATGAGTTCTGTGACAGTAATTCTCAATCTTGAGTGCACACTGGAATCACTTGGTAAACTTTTACCTAGCTCATTTATTTACTTTGGCCAATCAACTCAGAACCTGGCGTGCAAGAGCCAGGTGTCAATATTTTTAAAAATTCTCAGGTGATTGCAGTGTTCACCCAAGGTTGAAGACCACTAATCTAGGGGGATGCACATGGAACTGTGGTTATTAAAATGCCTCACAATAACCTGGAGAGTTTGTAAAAATCCAGTTAGCTGTGCCCCATCTCCAGATTCCAATTCAGTAGGTCTCTGCCCTTCTAACAAGTTCCCAGGCAGTAGTGATGCTGCTAGCCTGGTGACTACACTTTGAGAACCATTGCTAGAGACAGAGAAGCTGATTGGGAAGGCTTTTGTTAGTAAACTGGGCAGGAAGGGATGGAAACCTGAACTTCAGCATGATCATGAGGATGTGAAAGGTGGGACAACCTTCAAAAAAATGTAGTTGAATAAGTCAATAAGACTTTGTTTAGATAATATGGAAAGGCATGGGAGAAGGGAGAGGTTAAAGATAACTTCAGGGTTTTGAATTTGGTGCCCAGATGATGACTCATTGACAGAAACATCACAAGATGAGGAACAGGCTTTGTGGGAGACATTATAGTTTTGGACTCTCGGTTCATTGTGCACGAGGAATAGTCAGTGGATACATATGGATATATTAGCCCTAAGTTGGAGAAGTTTGTAGATATAGATAAGAGCCTGGGATCATTAGCATTCGGATAGTACATGACTAGGGAGAGTGGCTATAGGAGTTCACAACCGTTGTGTCTTCCGAGCATACTGATGTAGTATATAACTCTTTCCAGGAATAGTGATTCACTGACCCCAGGGGATATACCGGTAGTTGGCAGAAGTCCTTCTTGGTATTGCCGGCATGCTACCCCCTCTATTTGACAGTCACTAGTGTAGAAGAAAGAGTAATGTGCCAAAGAAAGAACATGGGGAACACCTGTTTTAAGGGTTTGGAGGTGAGGACCCCAGGAATGACACTAAAAAGTAACAGTTCAAAAGATGTGATATCATGGAAGACAAGGGAGTAATAAGTTTCAAGAAGGAATGAATGGTTATTTATTTATTTATTTTGGCTTTTTGAGACAGGGTCTCACTAGCTGTGTAGTTCAGGCTGGCCTCAAACTCATGGCAATTCCCTTGCCTCAGCCTCTTGAGTGCTGGCATTACAGATATACACCCCCACATCTGGCACTGAATGGTTATTTAATGTCACTTGCTATAGACAAATTGAGTGTCTTAAAGACTGCAAGGTGTATGTTGGATTTTCTAGGGGAGGTTTCTTAATTGGGTTTGTAAATGCCAGATTGCCATGCACTAAAGATTATTTAACACATTCCCACTGGCTTGAACCACTGGTAGTAGAAGTGGTACAGTCATACATGCAACAGTTATGCATGTACCACCAGTGGTTCAAGCTGCCCAGCAGCAAGACATATCAATTACGACCCCATCCATCGTGAATGTGTTAATCATTCATCCAGTGTAAAAATTTTATGTCTTACATAGTAGGCACTGTTCTGTGTTGGTGTGGATACACTAATGAACAAAGAGTCCCAGCTTTTTGACACTTAATTTTTTTTTTCAGTGCTGGGGTTTTTAACTCAGGGCCTTGCGCATGGTGGCAAGCTTGCTAATACTGAGCTACATCACCATCTGACACTTAAATTCTAATAGAAGAGGATAAACACATAGGAAGTAAGGACAAAATAGACAAATATAAATTACTCTTTAAAGAAATTTGACTAATAGATAGAAGGTACAATAATATATAATCACTAGCATTTATTGAATGATAATTCTGTGCCAGGCACTCTACATAGAGTATATCCTTTAACTCTCACAGCAGTCTTAAGGAAATATATTATCTTTCCCATTTTATAAATGAGAAAACTTTGTATCAGAGTAACTAAATAACTTACCCAAGGTCACATAGCTAATAAATTGCAGATCTAAGATTTTTTTGTACCAGGAATCGAACGCAGGACCTTGTGCTTGCCAGGCAGGTGCTGTGCCACTGAGCTATATCCCTGACCCTGGAAGATCTAAGATTTAATCTAGGTTCTGTCTGATTACAAAATTTTTACTTAAAACTACTATATCATATTGTAGTAAACATTAAGTAGTAATAAAGAGTCCTTGTTGTTCATTCATTGTAGTAAACGTTAAGTAGTAATAAACATTAAGTAGTAAATATTGAGTACTTACATTTGCTCATTAGTTCACTTACTTGCTATTAAAATTCTTTAAAATGACTTCTCTTTTGTCATTATGTAGGATAGTATCATACATTATTGTTTTGGATTTCATTTTTAAGAGTCCTCAAACACTTCACTGAATGGAGAATGCATCCATCTCTAACATAGCAAGGAACAGCTGCAGATGTCATCCTGTTACCCTATCTAAAATCCTTTAATGGCTTCTCGTTGCCACAAGGCTCTCTGTGACCATCTTCCACTTCTACAGCCTTACTTCTAGTACAGTATCTCCATTCTAGATGAGACAGTCATTGAAGGGGAGTGACTTGCCCAACTCCTTATTTCCTTCCCTTGTGTTGGGTTTCTTCGTAGCACTTATTTCTGGGTCATATGAATTACATATATAATTCACAATTAGAATAAAATCTATCAGAAAGCCCTCTGAGAGCTTGTAGCAAGAAAGTGCAATGATCTGATTTATAATTTTAAAAATTGTTCTGGCTTCTAGGTAGAGATTTTAGAACAATTAATGAGTTTGCTGTGTTACTCCAGGTAAGAGGTAATGGGACTGCATTGTATCTCTGAAGTCCCTTGTCAGTTAACAGTTTATGATTCTAGGAAATATATGTATAATATTTGCTTGTCAGCCCCACTAAATATATACTGTATGAGGGCAAGGACTGTATAAATTATCTGTTCTGTAACAAATTACCCCAAATTTAGTGCCTTAAAACAGCGAGTGTTTATTACTTTGCAGTTTCTGTGGGTCAGGAATTGAGAAATGGCTTGAGTGAATGATTCCAGCTAAAGATCTATCATGAGTTTGTAGCCCTTATGTCTGCTAGGGCTGAAGTCTTCTAAAGGCTTGACTGGGCCTAGGTTATGTGCTTTAAAGATAATTCACTGCTATTGGCTGGAGGCATAAGTACCTTACCTTATAGGCCTCTTCAGGACACAGCAGCTGATTGACTCCAGAGTGAACGATCCAAGAGAGAACTAGGTAAATGCCTTATAAATATATAAAGTATCCTTTATAACCTAGCAATGGAAGTGACATGTGCTCGTGACTGCCTTACTCTGTTGGTGACTAATCTTAATCCGTTGTGTGTCATGAATAACAGGAGGTCTGGTTCATTAGGGGCTATCTTGGAGACTGGCTACTACAGGCACACTCTCTGTCTTGTTTACTGTTTTAGCTCCATCATCAAGAGGAGGGCCTTGCATATGGTGGGTGCTCAGTAAATATTTGTTGAATAAGTGGAGAGATAGATTTAGACTACATATGGATTTAGAGTATATCTTTAAAAATATGAGCATTCATGGAGCTATAAGTTAACTGGGGCAGAGTGGAAGATGGCTGTCAAATGTAAAGAGAAAGAGTAATTCACTTTATTTGTTGTCGTCTTTCCCTCAGATGTGGAAGCATGAGGGCTTTTTTGCACTCTATAAAGGATTTTGGCCAAACTGGCTTCGACTTGGACCCTGGAACATCATTGTATCCTTTTAGGACATGAGAATAAAGTAGGTGTTCAGGATCCCAGGTAATACCAGGTTATGGGAAGGAAAACTTGATTATTAAAGCCTTTAGGCAAGTAAGAAACTATCCCATTGGTGACCATTAAGGGTGGAAGTAAATAAACAGCCTTTAATTGGAGACTAATACAAACTAAAGGGGGTAGACAAGATGTGCCAAACTTTCCTCGTTTCCTTTTTGAAACAAAACGATGGGAAGGGGGAATGGGGTAAAAGGGAGGGTAATAGGATAGATGGATATGATCAAAATATGTTATATACACGCAAGAAAAAGGCACAATGAAGCCCAGAATTTTGTAAGATTAATATACACTGCAAAATACATTATATATAATGTATACAGATTACATATATAATGTATGTATGTATGTGTGTATATATATATATTTTATGTGTGTGTGTGTGTGTGTGTGTGTGTGTGTGTGTGTATAAAACCAAATGACAAAAACACATCTAATGTGGAAGGGGTAAGGAAGTTTTTAGAAACTCCAATGGGAAACCAGGTGCTGTGGCTCATGCCTGTAATCCCAGCACTGTTGGGGGCTGGGAGGATCTTAAATTCAAGTCCAACCTGCTGGGCAACTCAGTGACTTAGCAGCCTCTGTCTCAGATCTTTTACAAGAAGGAAGGAGACCAAGAGATAGAGGGAGAAGGGGAGGGGAAGGAAAAAGAATTAGGATGTGTTATGTACATGTCCTAACTCCCTACAAGGAGTGTAATCATTATGTGCTATGAACATGTACTAATAAAAAAGTTGAAAAAGGAGGTTGAGGATATAGCTCAGTGTGAAGGTCCTGGGTTCAATCCCTAGTATCCACTCCCCACCAAAAAAGGAAAGGAAAAACCTGATGGAAGATATGCTTATGGGTCAGTCTCCTTTAGCTGTGTTTGAGTGCCTCCTATATGTAGAGCCATGTAATAAATACTGTGTGTGGTGTTGTGTGTAAATTGGTGTGTACTGCAGGTTTGAAATTAGTTCCGTCCTTGTGGGCTCTGTAGGTAGATAGATAACATCTCTCTCCCAAACCTTTTGTAATTGGTCTGAACATCTAAGATGTAACCACTACTCAAGCACTGAATTATATGTTATCATGGATGTTCTCGGATATTGTGTGTGTGTTGTTTGCTGAAAACTGTACTAGTTTTAATCTGGTTATATTGCTAAATGACAGTGATCATAATGGGCACTTGGTAGGCACTCAGCACATTCGATTTGACAGGTGTTGTTTTTCAAAAAGAATTTTAAGGCGATGAAACTGAGAGTAGCACAGACTAAATACCTTAATTTAAGAGCGTGTAATGCAGTTTAGAACTAGGTTTGCCTTTCAGTATCAATTCAGACATTTTCCATGACTTACTCCTCAGTTTTTTATTACATACGAACAGCTCAAGAGACTTCAAATCTAAGAACTGGATATATGAGAACCCAGCTCTGCCAGCCTTTCTACTGTTTTTCTTTCCTCTTCTTTCGTGTTCTAATGTATTTTGACACAGTTGTATTTACCGAACCAGTGGTCTCCCAAGCCCTCCTGATAGAACAATAGGATGGTTCAGCATTGCTCATGCATTTGTGTTACCATGTTAACTTTCCCTGAGAGGAAGTGTTAACATTGAAACTCTGGTGCCAGATTGGTATCTTCTGTGAAGATGGATACTGATGGGTAACATTCAAAATGGCCTTCTTTCCAAATGTGGGTAAAATATGGTTGGTTGGCCCCAGATCTGTGTAAGAGCAGAAGACGTAGGCTGGGACAGTGAAATGTATGTTATAGACCTTGGTTGTCATTAAAGTATTTATTGGCAGAATCACTTTGACTTTGTCTCTACTGTTTTCCCCTTTGCCGACTCTTTTAAGTTACATTCTCCCAAAAGTGGTAAAGAGAAGGTAATTATGAAATTGGTCCTGGTCTCTGAAAGTACACCTTTTGGGGATAGAATAATAGCAATGTGCTTTCCCACTGTCATTTATTGTCATGACGCTCACTTCTAAACATCAGACGAGTGGTTCTTTCCATAGCACAAACAAGCAACTAGCTCATTTGAAAGTTTCTGCAGATAAAATGGTAAGAGCCAGATGAAAGGTTTTGGCCACTTTCTTGTACTAGAACAGTAACTGGCACATTGTAGGCACTAAATTTTGATGGAATGAATAGTTTAAAATAATCTTTATGTATTCATTTATTTGTTCATTTATTATGTGCTCATTTCCTAGATGCTGGAATATTAAAATGCATAAAATAAGGCTGGGTGTGGTGGCACACGCCTGTAATCCTAGAACTCGGGAGGCTGAGGCAGGAGGATTGCCATGAATTCAAAACCACTCTGGGTAGGCTACATAGCAAGACGCTCTCTCAAAAAAAGACCCTCAAATGCATAAAACAGTGTCTGTTTTTAAGTTCACATTATAGTGGGGGAATAGATATGTAAGTAAATTACTACAGTGGGTTTTAAGTACTGTGTGAGAGATAAGCAAGGTGCTGTTACAGCAGAGAGGAGAAACAGCCTTCCCTAAAGAATTTGCCAAAACTGCAGAGCAGAGGTGACACCCGAGTCAAGTTAAGGGAAGAGTGGATGTTATGTGCATAAAGCGCTCTTCATTTTGACAAATGTTTAACAGCATGTATACATCTTTAGAGAATTGTATAGAATGGTTTCACTGCCTTAAGAATCCTCTGTGCTTCTTTTTTTTCCTCTCTCCCTATAGTCTCTGGCAAGCACTGAGTCTTTTACTATCTCAATGGTTTTGGCTTTTTCAGAGTGTCATACAGCTGGAATCCTATAGTAGCCTTTTCAAATTGGCTTCTTTTGCTTTGTTACATGCACTTAAGATTCTTCCATGTCTTCTCGTGGCTTGGTAGGTCGTTTCATTTTAGCTCTGAATAACTGTCTGCATGTACCACATTTTATTTATCCGTTCATTTGCCAATCTACCAGAGGACATCTTTGTTCCTTCCAAGTTTGGGCAAGCAATTCTTTTTCTTTTCTTTTAGAGACAGAGTCTTGCTGTATAGTTCAGGGTGGCCTTGAACTCACTATGTAGGCCAGGCTGGCCTCAGAATCACAGTGATCCTCCTGCCTCAGCCTCCAGAGTGCTGGAATTACATGTGTGTGCCACCATGCCCAACTGGGCAAGCAATTCTGAATAAAGCTCCTATAAACATTTGTGTGCAGAGTTTTATGTGGACAAAAGTTTTCAACTCATTTAGATAAATACTAAGGAGCATAATTGCTGGATGGTAAGATAAGAGTATGTTTAATTTTATAATAAACTCCTAAACCATTTCCCAAATAAGGATTTCATATTCCCAGAAGCAGAGAACAAGAGTTCTTGTTCTCCACATCCTTTCTCACTTTTGGTGTTGTCATTGTTTCCGGATTTTGGACCTTCTAGTAGCGGCATCTCATTGTTTATTATTATATTTATTTTTAAATGCTTACTACTTGTATCAAATACCCCATTTAACTCCAAATGAATAATTAAAAGATAAAGCATTTTTTCTCAATGATATGGCCTGAAAAATAGTTTCTTGGAGTTCATATATATTGGAAATTGGCTGTTATTCACTTAACTTAGATGTTAAGAGAAACCTTGTGATTTCTTCTCCCTTTGTCTAAATAATTTTCCTCATAATTTCATATACCATGTGTCACAGTTGATAACTACATGTTGTATTTGCGTGATTATTTGCTTAATGCTATGTCCCATCAGGCTGTTGATAATGTAGGAATTATGTCGGTTTTGTTCACTGCTGGGTTCATAGTGCCTGGCATAGTTACAGTAAATACAGTGGTACCTCGCTTCATGAACTTAATTAGTCCATGATTTTGGAAAAGATGGCCACATTTGTGTTTGTGCGGGAAAGATCGCCATGTCATGTTTGTCACCCAATGTAGAGTTTGCAAGCAAAACCAAAATTCTGCCAAGCACTTTTGTTTGTGAACCAAAGTGTTTGCAAAAAAAGCGTTCATGTATCGAGGTACCACTGTATTTGTTATATGAATAAATGAATTGATCTGTAGCCAAAGGACTGGATACATTGCCTAAAAAGATAAAGGTTCAGCAAATATTGTGGGATTTAAATTGAAATAAATTTAAATTACTAGGTAAATGATTGTGCTAAGGATTACGTCAAGCCTGAGCCACTAGAAGGGCGGTATTGCCATGGCTTGAAATACAGTCTATCTGCTGATGACTTCCAAGTATATTCTCCCAACTTCCGCTTCATCCTTGAACTCTGTACTTCTGCATCGTGCTGCCTACTCCATATCTTTGTTAAATTTTAATGGGCATATGAAACTTAGCATGTATAAAACAAAATTGATTTTCCTCTAAGACGCCTTTTAGTGTTTTAGTCCTTGAAGTCATCCTTAACTCTGTTCTGTCTCTCACAACCTATATCCTATTCCCTAGTAAATCATATTTGAAAGGATGAAATGATGATCAAAATCTTTAAGCTGAAAAAAAGGTCTGTAGGCAGGAAGTTGAAAAAAACTCACCCCTCCTCCAGTTTTTGAGAGGCTGGAGAGAAACAAGTTAGATAATAATAGCTAAGCTCGGCATTGGCAGTGCAACCTTTACTTCCAGCTACTCAGGAGGATTACTTTCATCCAAGAGTTGGAAGCTAGCCTGGACAACACAGTGAGACCCTTTCTCAGGAAAAAAAAAATTAAAAACAAACAATTACTACTAATTATATGGCTCTTATTAGGTTCCAGGTACTGTTATGTAGTAAGGGTATTATCTAATAAGGGTATTATGTTTATAAAACAGTCTAAATCCTTACTTCCACCCCTAGGAGTTAGTTACTATTCTAATTTGTCAGACGAGAAGCTAAGGCACAGAGGAGTGTAATGATTTGCTTCTAGAAAGTGGCAGTCTGGCTCATGAGCCCATGTGTGTAATCACAATACTAGAGGTGGACTAACATACCCTGTCCAGGTGAGCACTAAAAAATACTGATTTCATTAATTCTATCTTTATAGCACCCCAAGAAAAAGAAGGCCAGTAGTTTTTGTGCTTTGTCACTGTTTGACACGTACCTGTAATACCGGATTTAGATTGTTTTCCTAGTGATCTGTGACTGAATATATTATTTCCCCTTATTCTCTGCTTTCTTTTTCGTACCCGGAATCAAACTTATGACCTTGTACTTGCCAGGCAGGTGATGTGCCACTGAGCTATATCCCCAGCTATTCTCTGCTTTTTACTGCTTCCTTCTCATTCTGTTGTTGGGTTTTTTTTTTTTTTCTCTTTGATTTCCTTCATCACTTCCCAGACCCTCTTCCTCTAGTCTAAGTGAGTACAGCTTACCAGGGGTAGCACAGCAAGGTTCAGAAAGGTTCTTGCTGTCAGAGGCAGCACATCAGAACCACACAAACTTGTTCCTTTTGGACATTAGACCTGTGGTACAGATTCCACTAGCTTGAAATTTAACAATTTGAACATGGACCTAGACTTGTTGCCCTCTTGCCTCCAGTGCAAAGAAGTGTTTTGGTTTTAAGCAAACTTACAGGACAAATGATAAAAACTAGTAAGAACCTGATTATTTGTATTCACGATATCATGTCACTTAAGGTGTTTTATTTTAGCCTACTCCAGTCAAGATATTGCATATAAATTAAAGTAATAAGATTGCTTTTAGTCAAATATCTTTATGTCACCTCAGAATGGCCTCTCTTCAGTAATTTTTTTTTTCTTTTTTGTACCGGGAGTCAAACTTACAAACTTGTGTTTGCCAGGCGGGTGTTTGTGCCACCGAGTTATATCCCTGCCCCCGCCCCGTTAGTAATCTTAATTCCTAAGATTTCACTGCAAAGGGTATTCCTCCTCTTTCTATTTAGTGTCTCACATCAGAAACCAGTTATATTTTGAACTGTGCCTCACTCATCATAAACACTCTATGCATCCTTATCTCCCCCATTTAGTAAGTAGGAAAAACAATTTAATGAATTTGTTCTATAAGGTTACTAAAGGACTTCATAATCTTAAAGTAGTGGTTAGAATTTTGTATAAGAAATGTTTGGGGGTCGGGGATGTAGCTCAGCAGCACAGAGCCTGCCTGGCAAGCACAAGGTCCTGAGTTCAATTCCTGGTACAAAAAAAAGTTTGGATTATGAGTCCCCCTCCCCCCTTTTTTTAACCTCTGAAATAACATCCTAGCCATTCAGCCATAATTTCTTCGTTTCTGTGTCTCATCTCCCCCTTACCCCTTCAGTACTGGGATTGAACCCAGGGAGCACTGAGCTGCATCCGTAGCCCTTGTTTTATTTTCAGACAGGGTCTGGCACAGTTGCCCAAGCTGGCCTCAGACTTCTTATTCTCCTGCTTCAGACCTCCTGAGCAGCTAGGATTTCACTTAAAACAAACAAACAAACAAACAAACCTCTGAGATGGTATTACACCTGTTTGATTTTCTATAGAAAGCATTTTAAATTTTTTGGTAATTCAATGGACAAATCTAAAATACTACAGGTGCTAAAAGCACATTGAGCAGTTCTGTAAGTGTGACATTTTACTGGGCCTATGTTATCTCAGTGTGTTTATCAGCTTTTTAGTGCTTTAATAGCAATATAATTGAGACAGAACTGAAACTGATAAGGGTTTATTATGGTAAAACGCTGAAAAAATACATGGGAAATATGATTAAATCATGGAATTGTTGGGCACCATACCAACTAAAATAAACCTAAACAGATGCAGAGACCTCAAGCTCTTCACCCTCCATTCTGATTTTAGTTCTTCCAGAGCTCACAAGCAAATGAATGCTCCCTGCCCCATTCTGTAGAAGGGGTTTCAGAAGAAACAGGCA